TAAGGGTATTTATAGGTAGTCACAATTTTGAATATTTCAAAGTTGGGGAGTGTTTATTAGTTGAGAGATCATCAAATTTGCCATTGTCGTCCGAATAGTGATTGGTGTTGCGGCTCATTTGCGGGAAAAGAGATTTCCGGCCGAGAAATCACATGGCCAGAGGCAGTGTAGTCGTATGCAAGATATCAGATACGCCTTTGTGGCACGAGCATCATCTTTTTTTTTTACAAGTCAGTTTCAAAGGTAACTAGATATGCCAACTCGCTGTGTTTCGTGTAAAGCGAGTAATCTGAAATGTTACATTTGATTGTAACACATAATAAACTAACTTGTAAAGAACACAAACCCAATAAAATGCAGGCATAACTCTCTCATTTGATGAATATGAACATCTAAGCAGCTAAATAAGAATCGATGAAACACATTTTGTAATGAGGTGAAGCAAACAATAAAAAATGGACTCGTTGGCCAATGAATAGGTACTGATTAGAGAACAACAAACACATTTTGAAAATCATTAATGTGGCTCTATTGCTCTTCAATAAGTACTTTTTTTTTGCTCTCGCTCCGCAGCGATAACAAAATAATTATATTTAAAAGTTTATTCACTCATTAAATGATTTAGTTGAAATCAAATAATTTAAAAAATTATTGGGTAAGATACCTTCATAAGTATTACGTAGTTTGGCAAAATACACTTGTGTAGCCAAAACTTTCACGTTTGTGCCAATAATAGCCAAATTTGGCGAAATACCACTTATAGACACTTTTTGAAGATGTTGTAGGACAAATATAGCCATTTCCGTAAGAAACTTTAACGGTGTTAATAACACCGTCAACTTATTTGACGGTTGGCTAACTAGGCGCCAACTAAGCCAACACGTCAGCGCCAACTAAGCAATTATTTACATGTTAGATATTTTAATTAGGTTAAATACACTTGTATATCCAAAACTTTCACGGTTGTGACAATAATATCCAAATTTCCCGGAATACCACTTATATCCATGTTTTAAAGTTGTTCTTTGCCAAATCTATCCATTTCCCAATATATTTTTGGTTAAATACACTTGTATATCCAAAAACACCATTAAAGAATGTGAAGGAATTGGATATAAGTGGTATTTATGGAAATTTGGATATTATTGGCACAACCGTGAAAGTTTTGGATATACAAGTTTATTTAACCTTTTAATTATTTATTATTTATTAAAAATAAAAAAATTACTTATATTACTATCTGCATCGCGACTTACCTTCTTCCCCAACCCGATTTTGATTTCCTCCCCCAATTAGGGTTCTTCCATAAATCTCCTCCCTCGACGAATCCCCTTCCCCCTTCCGATTTTGAAATATGGTTCTTCCCCAAACTTCCTCTCCTAACGAATCCTCTTCCCCCTTTTAATCGATTCGTCGATTATTAATCTCCATTCCCCATCAATCCTCCTCCACTTCTTAATCTGTTTGGCGAATCGCGACCCTCTCCCGATTCGAGACCCTCTCCATTCCCCATCAATCCCACCCTATGCCGATTCGCGACTCTGGGATTTCGTGATTTCTCCTGCCCAGAAGTTCAAGCGAGCTGCAGTCATGTCTAAGCGAGCATCTTCTGTCGCGCCAAAAGGAATCAATCCTCCTCACTAGTTGTCACACTCGAGGGACAACAGAAATCCACCTGGGAAGTGCGATTAGGGTTTCTACAAACAAGTACACTCGCGTCTGCTACAGGTGGATTCTGCGTTCGCCAGAAGAAAAGAAACTTCGGAGGACTAGGCCAAAGCTCGCCGCCGGTTGGTCAACCCATCGAATGCTTGTCATTCTTTGTCGAGGAAGGAGGGGATATGGTAAGCTCGATGAATGGAGGAAAATCGGGACTGGGGGAGCGGTAGATTGGTGGTGTGGAGGAAGGAATATGATGGGGTACGAGGGTCATCGGCGACACTACGTCGCCTTCGTTAGGTTGATGGTGGAGTAAAACAGGGGGTGGTTCGGAGAAGGAGAAGATAAGGCAGAGAAGGACGGGTCAAATGTATTTTTATTTGATTTTTGGTCAGTTTTTTTTAATAAATCATTATCCACGTGTATAATTACAGAGGAAAAGGAAAATAAGAGCTCGCCACGTAAGCATCTCCGTTTGTCTAGTCACACTTAAAGCTAAAATCGTTAAAGAATCGGACGAAAGTGGCTATAAGTCGTATTTCTCCAAATTTGGCTATTATTGGCACAAACGTGAAAGTTTTGGCTATACAAGTGTATTTTGCCTAGTTTTAATCATTATGAAAGTTTAAGTAATCTATAAACAAACGTTATGTAAAAGAATAACTTATCTTACAAAACATTCATGAAATGCAAATTGATGAGATGATTAACAATTTAGTTAATACTAAATGAATTTTTTTCAAACTTATATTACAAAATAATTACGAAATAGATATAAAATATATTTTGTTTAAGTGATACATAAGAAATAACTATCTCTTCATAATTTTAATAATTTATTTGTATTTACATAACTGTGATGGTGTATTGTTACACAAAGCTTTCGTTCGATGTGGTTTAATAATAAAATAAACTAAAATTTTACATTTGACTAAATTATTATGTAAAATATCATTGACCTTACAAAACCATAGTGTAATGCAAATAATAAAAAAGTTATGGTGAATTATGGAGCTTATATATAATATTTGTAATTACATAAATTTTATAACAATGTAAGATAAATCTTTCATGTTGTGTGGTCTAATAATAAAATTAAGTCAAGAAAAATGATATTTCCCTATTCTTTTGTTATGAATTGTGCTCATAATTTTTGAATACTTGCGGTTTAATAATTCTATATATTCTTATAATATAATAATAATTTAACCAAAAGCTCAACCAACCTCGCCTTCATCTTTTTTTTTTCTCTAGTTACTTCATCCTTACTTTTTGGTTAATATATCTGTATGACCTGAACTTTTCACATAATAAACATCTTGACCAATCTTTTAGATCGATAACATCATGACCTGAACTATACACCAAAAGTAAAGAAATTGGCCAAAACTGCAGTCAACGCGCCATGTTCAGGCCATTATGTTATGAATCGAAAAAATTAGCAAAAATGTTTATTATGTGAAAGTTCAGGTCATCCAGATATATTAACTTTTTTTTTTGCTACAATTTTGATTTTACCAAGAAGAGTGGAAAGACAAATAAGGAGAGAGGAGAGGAGAATGGGTGCGGCCGTGCGGGACAAGAGAAGAATGGAATGGACAGAGAGATCAGAGGAGAGTGGATCAGGTGCGACAATTATTATGTGGACCCAGTCATCCCTCGGCCAGCCCAAAGTGGCACACTCACTTAATTAAATTTGCCCCCAGGGACTGCCAAATATCCGTTAGTCTCACGTGAATTTGACGCAATCACCTAAAACCCTCTTTGTGAACAGTTAACACGATTTTTTTAGTAATGAACAATAAAGTTCAATTTTTTTAAGCTTTGGCTGCTTGTGACTTAATAATATAATAATAATAATAACTACTATAGTAACTCCATTGTCCTATCTTGCGGGTGTCCTCGAATCTAGCAAATCGCTAAAGAGATAAATAATGGAGCCAAACCAAATACGAGCTTCTAGTTGAAATCAATTAATGCGGTTCTCTTGTTCTTATCATAAGGATTCAAAAATGGAAAATGGATCGTCGAAACACACGTGATCGAAATACGCGTGATCAAACTATATTTAGTTAAATAGCCGAAAAACTCACAAATATTGTTAATAAGAACTCTAAAATGGGAAACACGTCACCGATATACATGTGATTCAAATATGCATGATTGATGGGTTTTTAGTTTAATAGTAAAAAAACTCAAATTAATATATAAAAAGATAGATAAGCATCACCGATATACACGTAATCCGAATATGTGTGATCGGTCGAATTTTAGAACAATTGAAAAAACTCAAATACGAACAAAGACGCTGATTTCGAGATACAAAAAAAAAAAGATGAAATAAAAGTAAAAAATGGATTATTCAAAAGGTATCTGTATGTGATTAAAAAATGAATAAAATTAGGCAAATATGTGTCCAAAAATGACAAATTGAAAAAAGAAAACCCCGAACAGAGGCATTTCCTGTGCATCAAGACTGCTTTCACTGCACATCCAGACTCACAAACACTGTTTCGACTCGGATGGGGCTCCTGTGTGGGCTGGTGCACGGAGGACCCTGGTTGGATTCAGGCGAGATTTGTTTGGTTCGGTTGCGTTGTTACCATGGTTTGCCTTCTGGTTGATGTTCTATTTCCATTTCCTTGCACGTGTTGATCGATCGGTGAGTTCCCTTGCCTTGGGGTTGTCAAACTGGAGGCACCATTTGCCCTTTTGGGGATGGGAGAGCCGCATCAAGGACATGGATTTTTTGCTACCATTGATCCCTCTGCCTGGGCGTGCTGCCCGATTTCGGCCTGTCATCTGTCTATCACTTTTTGGCTCAGTAGCCGGCTAATGATGGTGGCTACCGTAGGTGGGACCTTTTGCCTCTCCCAAGATGGGTTACTGATAGTAGGATACCTTTTATTTGTTTTGTTCCTTTCAATTTCATCTCTTGCGTCTCTCTTTCATCTCTCTTTCATCTTTCCTATTCTCCCAACGATCTGGTGTGTTTATCTTCTTTGTTTTCCCCTCTTGCTCTGTTCCTCATTTTCGTTGCTGGTTTCTCGCCGGGATGGATGTGACGCTGTTGTGTAATGTGAAGGGTGCCAGTAGGGATATCTCTCTCCGCCTGCGCCTGTTACACATGTGGTTGGCTAAGCCTCCTAACAGTGCCACTGTTTATTTCCACTGCTGCCTTTGGGTTGACCAGACGGTGAGCTTGCTCGATGGATGATGCTTAGTTGCTTTTTTGGGTTGGGAATATTTGTTAGGTTTGGGGGATCTCATATTTGGATTTTTGTTCATTGCTTTATTAGTTTTCCCGTTTCCTAGATTTAATCGTATTCGGTTAACTGTCAATGCAGGGTATGCTCATCCAGGCAATCGGTGATACCGCCATGGCGGATGACATTGACCGGGCTCTTCGTGTTGGGACTATTTATGTCATAAGAGAATTTGGTCTGAATACAGCGAGGAATTTCTATCGTGCATGCTCCTTTACATTGATTATGAATATCACCAGAGCAACAACTTTCCAGGAGTGTTCTCTGCCAGCACTAGACTTCCCTACTTATTCTTTTGAGATTTACCCATTCAGTGAGCTTTCGAAGCGTAGCGGGTTCCACCGCATCCTCACAGGTCTTCCTCGACTATCTGTTGTGCTTTTGTGTTCGTTGTCGTGTGGATTATAATGTTCGTTCTTTTTAGATGTCGTTGGTCGTCTGCACTCTATTAGTGGGGTCGATCACCAGCTCACCAACACTGGATCAGTTCCCAAACAAGCTTTGGTTCTTCAAAATGATCAGTAGGTTCCTTTTCCTATATGTTGCTCCCCTGAATTTTATTTCTTTGTTTCTTACATATCATATGTGTCTTTTGTCATTGTTGATTTGTTCTTCTTTTTAAAGGGGGCAGCGGGTCTCGATTACTCTTTGGAATAACCTTGCTGGGTCCCTGGATCGTGTTGCTTTGATCCAAGCGGATGCCATTGAGCCAGTCATTATCGCTGTTGGGAGTCTCTTGGTTGGCCGGAAAATGGGTACCCTTTGTTTACCCTTGTGTGTAGCCATTTTACTATGCTTTCTGCGTGTTTATAATTTTAAAAATCTGTTGATCCTGTTTCCAGGGAGTGAATATAGTTGTTCCAGCTCATCAGGGACCCGAATATCAGTTAGCCCTCGCATACCTGAAGCATACCACCTGGCCACTGTGTATGCACTTTGTGTCCTATTTTTTGTTAGTGGTTCTCTTTTTATTTCGACATCTGGTTTGCTTTGTAAAGTGTATTTCTGTTGCTTTTTTCCATGTAAGCTTTGGCGGCCCAAGGATCCCTGTGGCGGAGCTACCAGTGCAGTTTGCTACACCGGAAGAAGCTGTCACTGATGCAGCGAGTAGGACAAAGACCATTGCTGAACTGCTTGAACTCCACCATCGTGGTGCTTCTTCGGTACGTGCATCTCATTTAATTTATGTTCCTGAGCTTATGTTTTTATTTTTCAATGTTATGTTCGACCTATTCATTTGCTCTTTTGTTATGGTTCTATATTATTTACAGTTTATTGTTGTGTTGGGTTGAATGCAGGATGCAAAGCACTTTTGCAGCGGGATAATCAAATCTGTTGATTCCCACACCCCGTGGTACTATACATCCTGCAACATGTGTAGGAAAGGTTGTTCAGCCTTTGAAAATGGTTCCTACTGGTGTCCAAAACACTGGGAAATTAGTGAGAATCAGGTTACAGTTGGGTATGTTCGTTGCTTTGTTTTTTCAGCCTTAAGTAATTATTTTTGTGAATCTTCATGAGTTTGATTTGCCATTAATAGTGGTTGTCTGTTGCTTCAGTCCTTTTGTTTTCTTGGGCCTAACTTTTGTATCCCTTTGCTTCTTTTTTTCAGTTATAAAATTCAGCTCACTTTGAGAGATGTGACAAATGAGGCTCCTTTCATAGTATTTGGTTCGTGTGGTAACAGTTTGGTCTTCACTTCTGCTCCGCTCTTGGCTCAGAGGTACCCTCATAGGGCGGGTCAGCTTCCACCGGAGTTGAGTGCTCTACATGGGCAGTATGTCAAATTTGAGGCTAAGCTGCCAATGATTGAAGCTAATGGGGTGTCGACTGGGGAATTTAGAGTTTTGCGTGTGATTCCTCAGCAGAATCATCAGATCCAGGCTGCTGCCCCCCTTCAAATTCAGAGCACGGTGAATGCCTCTCGCATTTCTCAGCCTCTCCTTGACATTGGCCATCAACCTGGACCAGTTTCTGATGTTGCAGCTTTGAAGCAGTCAAGTGGGCAATGTTCCGAGTCCTCTCCATCAAGGTTTGTTGTTTTGAGTACAATATTTTTGTGTTTGCTGGTTTCATGACACGATATATATGAATGTGTGTGTTTTGTTGTCAGTTCTTCTAAAGGAAAGGAGAAATTCTCGGGTCTGTTGTTGTCTGGGACCTGCAAACCTATTTTCCGCGTTGGCCAATTTGTGCAGGAGCCACAAAGGTTATGTTTTGTTGCATCCTTTTTGTAAAGTGTCCATGATTGATCTACATATGTTTATTGGATGTTGCCGTGAAATGTTGGTGTTCCCTGCAGCCAATCGCATGGATCGGTTTTCATTAATGAAAGGGTTGCAAGTCCAGAGAGAAAGGTTGTTTCTGAGGTTCACTCAACAGCACCAGGCGTTGTCCCACTGAATTCTACCATTCCCCGCAAAGAAACTGGTGATTCGACCAACACTGCTGTGGGGGAAAATGTCACAATTGCATATACAGGTTCACTAAAATCCGTAGCTAATAATAGCACTGCAAAGCTGAAAGATCCAACAACAGTATCCATGGCTCTTGGGACCTCTACTGGGCAAGACTCCTCGAATATCTCAGATTCTGTTGCTGCAGGCTCTGGGACTCCTCAAAGTAAGGTTACTGCATCCCCATCATCAATTGTGCCTATGTCATCATCGACACCACCTTTTTCATCGCCGTCAGCGTCTCTGTGAGATGTTTACCTTAACCAAATTGATGGATTTTTTGTTGTTATGAATGTAGTGTACGGATGTTTTATTCTTTACTTTGCAATGTAGCAGGCTGGTCTCTCCATTAGCAAAGGTGAAGGTGGAAAAGCTAGATGCTTCTGAGCTGAAAAGTTCCAATGTTGATGCACAGGGATCTGTTCCTTTTTCAATTGGGAATTCAGGGTCACCACAGGGAAAGCGTACTTCTGTGAAGCGCCGCCTTTATGAACCCTAAGGTGTACTGTTTGAGATTGTATATCGTTATATTCTGTTGAAAATGGAGTGTGGGTTGGTTGTAATTTTGTTCTGGTTATGCTAACTTTGTTCTTTTGTTAACTTCTTTCATTGCAGATGTCCTGTTGTCTCTTGGATCTGTGGGTTGTAACCAGCAAGTTAAGATTTAGAGATGGCATGTGTTAGTGTTGGTAGAAACTTTTGGGGTGTTTTTTCTTCTCATCTTATGAACATGGGAAGGTATCAGATGGAACAATTGGGGTTGCTTTTGGGAAGCTACTATGACCTCTCAGTGTGAATTATGCTATGTTTGTGAAAAAATGCAAACATGCATCGTGTTATGCAGGGTGTATGTTTGTTGCCGTGCACTGTAAAATTAATATGTAATGTAATCTTTGGTGCCTTAGCGAACAAGTGACATGTAATGTTTATGTAAGGGCAGATAGTTGTGGTTATATTTCGGTTCTGCAGTAGTTCTGGTTACATTTTTAGACTCCATCTATTCAAGCGTGTGAACTTCTATGTATTATGTATTGATAAAGCTAAGAAGTATAATACCATGTTTGCCATCATGTTTTGACACAAGTTCACCCATTTTAGGAATAATATTGTTGCCACTCAAAGCACAACACATGATTCTTTTGGATAGAACTAATTAAACAAAATGTTTCATTTAAATTAGTGGATTGGTAATTTCTTTGTACAGTCCATGAAACAAAAATTTAACACCATAAGGGTTGTGTCTGCTAAATATCTTGGTTGTTGCAGAAGTGATCATTACTTGATGTAAAAATTGTGTTTCTTTGCCCAAGAAAATTTATGTGGACAAGCATAGGTTAGTAATTAATGCCATGTCAAATCATCCTTTATCTTTATTCATATATAATGAACATCATCTTCTCCATTAAGTCAGTTTCTTAGTTAACAGGTTTCTCCCATATAACAAGTCTCTCCCAAGGAATCTATTAATACAGCAGTTGCAGCAAAACTGCCACCACCAGCAGATCCAGGTTATTGATGATTCCAAAAAATATTCCCACAAGATAAGACACCAGGTTAGTTGATGCATATAAATATAAAGCTTTTCATCAATTACATCCTTTCATGAAACTTGCATTTAATGATCAAACTCCTTCCATTAATGGTCTGTCGTGTATGTGCATTGATCACTTTGATATAATCTGTTTGTGCTTTTATGTATTTTTCACTTTATATAGCTGAAGTCAATTTATGCCACCTCAATGTTGCATGATGACTAGAAGAAAAAAACTTACAGCTTCTAGATCGCTGAAGCGAAAGAGAGGGACTGATCCAGATTTTTCTGGTGTCTCTAATGCTTCAATGCCTGCATTCCCTCCATTCCAGGTTGAAAATGTAAGGGTGGACAGAAGGTCACGCCAGCTCCCACTTATTCTTCATGGACAAGGAACAAGCAACTCAGGGAACAACACCATCATTGAAAATCTTCCTGATCCATATCACGTAGACATTGTTGCAGCATCAAGGGTCACCATTCGTTCCCACAAGAAGATACCAACTGCAAGAAAGCCACTGTACAATGATATACTGAATGTGGGGAAACCTGAATGTGTTTGTCGACATTGTGGGGCTCTATTTTGGTATGAAGAACGCTTGGACCGCCATCGGAAAACAACAAATCCTGTCTATGGATTATGCTGTCAAAAAGGAAGGATCAATCTGCCTCTTTTGAAACAGACACCACCACTTTTAGCTCAGTTACTGGATCATAATGGTGGAGCAATGTCAAAACACTTTAGAGATAACATACGACCATACAATGGAGCATTGTGTTTTACGTCATTTGGAGCAAAGTTGGATCCTCGGTCATTAACAAGTAGAGGACCATATTCAATGGTCATTTGCGGGGAGAACTACCACAGAATCGGGTCCTTGCTGCCCATGGATGGAGATAGACCAAAATTTGCTCAATTGTACATTTTTTAGCCTGAAAAAGAGATTGACAACAGATTATCTAACTTTGCTTCGCGTGAATCTGCCCTCTTGCCTGAATTGCTCACATCCTTACTCAGAATGCTTGATCAAATAAATGAGTTGGTCAAAACTTTCAGGCGCATTCGTCAAGATTTACAGCAGTCCTCCACAACAAATCTCCGCCTTCGTATCTTTGGAGTGGCAAGTAGAAACCGACAGTATGATCTCCCAACAAGTAGCGATGTTGCTGCTTTGATTCCAGGAGACTTTATTGCTGATAGAAATGATAGAGATATCATTGTCGATCATCAAGATCAGGGGTTGAAGAGAATCTCAACCTTGAATCCCAAATTTGAGGCTCTACATTTTCCTTTATTGTTTCCATATGGAGAAGACGGGTACCATCCCCTGATTCTCTATAACAGCAGCTGCTGTCCACCATCAATGCGTCGTAAGTTTGTCACACAAAGAGAGTACTATGCATATAGGCTTCAGTATCGATCCAATGAGGGACACACATTGGTGAAAGGTGGTAAAGCACTCCAACATTACTGTGTTGATGCGTTTTCAACGATCGAATTGAACCGATTGGCATTTCTAAGAAGTCATCAACAACAACTCAGAGAAGACGGGTACCATCCCCATATGGCTTGCAGAAGAAGATAAACTAAAGACTACTGTCGATATTGACGAAACAATCTCAGCAGAAATTCCTGACCCCAATATTGATCCAGTGGGATATGAAACCGTTGTCAAATTCATGCTTCATGGACCATGTGGGGAGGCTAACCCGAATGCACCTTGCATGAAAGATGGAAAGTGTTCAAAGTTTTTTCCAAAGGAATTCAACTCAGAAACAACATAGACACGTTGTTCCCTACAACAGAAACTTGCTGGTCAGAGCCCAAGCGCATATAAATGTTGAAATATGCCACAAAGGGGGGCTGGTTAAGTATTTGTTTAAATACATAACCAAAGGACCAGACAGATCCTTGGTCATTGCTGAAGATGCAGCATCTGCAACACAGGTTCCATCTACAAGTTCACATCAGAAAAAAGATGAGATAAAAGAGTTCATTGACTGCAGATCCCTATCATCCTACGAGGCTGTATGGAGAATTAATGAGTACTCAATTCACCACAGGGAACCAGCAGTGGTACGACTGCCTGTTCATCTACCAGGACAGCATAAAGTTCCATATAAAAAGCAATCGAATGTCCAGGATGTTTTGAAAAATCTCAAGGCTGGAAAAACACATCTCACTTCATGGTTTCTTCTAAATCAAATGGATCCTCAGGCAAGAAAACTTACCTATGCTCAAATTCCAAATGCTTATACATGGAATGAAGACTTCAATGAATGGACTCTAAGAAAAAAAGGGTTTGCCATTGGAAGGATATCATATGTTCCTCCAGGCAGCAATGATGTATTCTTCCTGAGATTGATACTGACAAAGGTATGTGGTGCTGTGAGTTTCTTAGATTTAAGGACAGTCCGCGGAGAGATTTGTCCCAGTTACGAGAAGGCTTGCGAGAAATTGGGTCTTTTGTCTGATTCCTCGGAATGGATTAGGCTGCTACAAGAAATCTCAGCCTCAAGCATGCCAAGTTTGATAAGGAGCACCTTTGTTTCGATGCTAATGTTTTGTGAAATACCTAATCCCCTTGCCTTATTTGAAGCATCTTGGAAATTGATGAGCGAAGATCATGTTTATTCTCTGCGAAAACGAATTCATTCAACCACTTTTGAACCTTCAGAGGAAAGATTGCGTAATTGGGTGTTAAACCAGCTGCAAACCTTGCTTGGATCTTATTCCTCATCTCTGGAACAGTTTAACCTTCCAAAACCATTAGACTCGGTAGCTGAAGATGGCTCAAATCCCTTGGTCAATGAACATCTGCACTTTGATGTAGAACAGCAAGGAGTCCTATCAGATGCTATGATTCAGTCACTTAACCTGGAACAATCTGAGGCTCTTGCTGCAATTATACTGTCAGTTACTAATAACTTGGGAAAGTCATTCTTCTTATATGGACATGGAGGCACAGGTAAGACCTTCCTGTACAATGCAATCATTGCAAAGTTGAGGAGTCAATCAAAGATAACAATAGTTGTGGCGTCGTCTGGAATTGCAGCAACTCTTTTGCCAAATGGTACAACAGCGCATTCGAGATTCAAGATACCCTTACATGTAGATGGTACCTCAACTTTCTCAGTTAAAAAAGGAACACACCTTGCTGGATTAATACATCAAACATCATTGGTTGTTTGGGATGAAGCACCCATGACACATCGACATGCATTCGAAGCCATTAGCAGAACATTCTGTGATTTAATGGGTGTTCCTATAGCAGGACCAGACCATAAGTTATTCGGAGGGAAAACAGTTCTGTTTGGTGGAGACTTTAGACAAACATTGCCAGTTATTACAGATTCCGGACGTGAGCAAACAATCGATGGATCCCTCACAAGGTCACCGCTGTGGCCTTCTTTTGCTGTTCTAAAACTGTCCAGGAACATGAGATTAAACGAATCAGCTACAAATAGAGCAGTGATTAGCAATGGTTACAACTTCGGTCAGTGGGTTCTTGCTCTTGGAGATGGGAAACTTCCAGCTATATCATTTAAACCAAGCACTCCCTCAGATTGGATTCAGATACCACCTATGTTCTTAATAGCACCTGGCCAGGGACCAATTCAATCCATTACAGGTGATATATATGAATCATTCGCAACAGAATACAAAAGCACAAAGTACCTCACAAGTAGAGCCATAGTAACACCCACAAATGCAAAGGTTAGTGAAATAAATGAGTTTATGCTTCAACAGCTACCAGGAATGAGTCGCTCTTATTACAGTTCAGATTCTATGCAAGTGGATGGAGATATTCCACAATCATTCAGCGAGACCTATCCGACTGAATTTCTCAATACGCTTGCATTCAATGGTGTACCAGATCACGAAATCAGACTTAAACTACATGCTCCAGTGATGCTGCTCAGGAATTTGAGTCCTCCAAATGGTTTGTGTAATGGCACAAGGATAA